TGCCGGCTGGGCTTAAACCACGACAGGTTCATTTACCTTCACCCCAATGAAATCTCCATCCTTCAGGTGGTAAGGTGCTGCCTGTAAACTCTCCCGCTTTTTCTTCTTTTTCCTCTTTGAGATTTGCTGTGTCTGAAGAAAAATCAAAGCAGAAGATTCCTACGTCAGAAATCTGCTTTAACACGTTAGCTCAAGAACTGCAGCACAAGCCAACACATTCTTCTCCCACCCATGCCACTGTTGGATTCTGTCATTCCAGGTCTTACCCAGCTGGATATTGGCAGCCACTCAAATCTTTCAGGGAAGTATTTGGCTATTTCAATTTTCTCTACAGGGAGACAATAGTGAGCAGCCACTCTCTGCCTCAGTGCCCAGGCTGTGCATTCCTTGGAGATATCCCACACCAAATCCGTGGAGTCATAGTAGTCCCTCTCTCCTGGTATTCCCATCTGGACTCGAAGCAGCAGCTCATGTGGGCTGTCATCAGAAAGGAGAAACAGACCATTCCAGCAAGTCATGCCTTCAGAATCCACAACTCCCAGTTTTCACTCCCTTCTGCCCTCCCTTAGTTTTGGTTACGGGAAGCAGAAAACAAGCTCTAAAGTCTTATCTCAGCCTGAGGCAGCGTTTAAGAGCAAAGCTGCTCAGTTAAGTCTCACCTCAAATGTGTTGCTGTAAGAAAGAAGTATCTGAAGATCTTACCCCAAATTCTCTTCTTTTTGCAAAGGTTCTATGCAGATTTCCACTCTGGCACCCAGCCTATAGTCACTGAAAGCAAAACAAAGATGATATAAAGCGGGGGTTGGAACTGGATGTTCTTAAGGTTCTTCCTCACCCAAACCAGCCTGGGATTCTATGATCTCATGCTCACACCATCTCCTTCCACAGCTCTTGAGTTAAATAGTGTGCTCAGTGCAAAATAGAAGTAACTAGCGAACTCATTTCTGGTTCTGTTTGACTGAGCCCATTTCTTTCTCCACCAATCCATCCCTCCCCAACCCAGCCAACAGTCAGCTTGTCCTACTGCTGCTTGTGCCTTCAGCAAGAAACCTACTTCAGTTGCTGCTTGTTGCTTCGTAAAAGCTTGCCTGGGCGCTTGCTGTCCACTGTCCATGCTCTGAGGAACGAGGGCAGGGGGACAACCTGCTCCTGGCAGCATGGTAAGGTCAGAGCCTGGAAAAGAAACACTTCCATAGTTTCAGGAGCCAGTCTCCATGGAAAAGAACAGAACCCCCCTGATGAATTCTCAATGCAAGACTGAAGCTATCAGGATCAGCGCAAAGTATTTAGTTATTCCACACCAGCTATTGCTTGTGACTTGCAGATAGTGGCTATGATTGACATAGTGACTTTTCAACCTCCAAGCAAGTTGGACTTCACTCCCTCCCAACACTTCCCACTTGAACTTACACTTCTAAAATGGATCACATTTCTCTTTGGAACCCAAATTTGCACAAGTGTGAGGGAATGAGACTGACAGAATCACTGCCCCAATCTCCAGCCTAGCACTGAGCAAGCTCCTCCAAGACCTTACCAAGGACACAATACTCTTTTCATGCCAAGACAATTCTCCTTGTTCACAGGATGTAAGTAAATGGTCAAGTTTTTCACAGCAGTAGTTTGGCAGAGACTGAAACCCAAGCTGAGTGAGTGTTGCTATGGACAAGAATCAGGTGAGAGATCCTTCCCCATGTAACTTAACTAGAACCACTAACTTGCTACACAATAAAAAGCTTTATGATAGGATTGGTTTGCATCTTTGGTGGGTTTGGGACTGGGTTTTTCGGTTGAGGTTTTGGGGGGTTTTGCAATGTATTAAAATTACACTTTTATGGTTAAAAAAGGCATAAAAAGGCACCTCAGTTTCTGGCCTTCCTGAAAGACAAACACAACCTTTTGTGCATCAAAAGCAATTCTTTCTCCATTAGATCCAACATACAAACCACAAAAATAAAAAAAAAGGTGGAACAAACTACTAACAGGAACAACGTGGAATGAAAAGTGGCTTTTTAGGATGTGCTTGTATGTGTGTGCTTCTCCTGGAGGAATTTTACACTGTGAAATAAAGGTAGGGCTCAAGCCAAGTTCCAGACGAAGTGCAACAAGGCTTCTGAGGTCAGGACACATGAGAGGTAGAATGGCAGCTGCAGGGGATGCACTAAGGAAGTATCTGAGCTACATGCTCCAATTGCCTCTTGGTACTTACCACTGAACATGGCATATAAGCAAATGCCATATCAGAACATACTGGAGACAAAGGAAAAGGAAATAGAAATAGGTATTAATAGAGCTCAATTAATCCCAGTGTTGCTGGAAGTTTCCAAGACAGGAGAACATCTAACCTGCATCTTCAGATCTTCCAAAGAAGCTTCTCCTGTTATTTCTATACTGCCAGCATAGCAAAGATCCATGTCTGTGTGGATGTGTTCTGGTGAATCTTTAGATGGGAAGGAGAGGAAGAAACAAACAGAAGACTTTGTTTAGCATCCTATGACGTAACTACCTTCAAAATGAGATTTCACTTACAGAAGGGAAATGACCTCATTTGTTTTTGGAGATCAGTTAGAAATACCTAATACACAGTTGATAAATACATGCTTTTTAGTTGCCAGACAGGAAGAGTTCCAACTGATCCTATAGGGCAAATCTGAAATCCAGAGCCAATTCCATTTCTAAATGGCATCAATTCATTGGTTATGACTCTGAAATGTAGAGCATGGTGCAAGGAAAGTTCCAGCTGCTCTTACCTGTGCTACTGAAATCATTAGGGGTAAAGTCAAACTGAGAAAGTCAGACAGAAAAGGATACAAATGCAAAGAGACCTTCCCAAAGAAGCAGGGTCCTGCTCTGCAGAACAACTCACCAGCACAGGAAGAATATTACCTTTCCTGTAGAAAATTGGGTTGTTTCCTATTTTCCACTGTTGTCCCCAATTAATTTTCCTCTTCTTTCTCAACCCTCCCTCAGTATTCCTGCCTTAGCTGCTTTTTGGGTTGGATTTCAAAAGAAGGGGAGATGTACATTAGACATTAGGCAGAAGCTGTTCCCTGTGAGGGTGCTGAGGCGCTGGCACAGGGTGCCCAGAGAAGCTGTGGCTGCCCCATCCCTGGCAGTGTTCAAGGCCAGGTTGGACACAGGGGCTTGGAGCAACCTGCTCTAGTGGAAGGTGTCCCTGGCCGTGGCAGGGGTTGGGGCTGGAGGAGCTTTAAGCTCCCTTCCAACACAAATCAGGCTGGGATTCCATGAAAAGCAGGTTCAAATACTCTATGTAAGATCTTTTATGCTGTGTAACATTTACTTTCACAGCTTCTCAAAAAGCAACACAGCCTGAAATGAATCAAATATGATACCAGGAGTCTGGCACTTAAAGCCAATCACCTCTGTACTCATGGAGTAGATACTTTACCGTACTGCCACTGCCTTCAGGTATGGAGAAGCCCTTTTACTTACAATAAGAGAAGATCCCCTGCTTCAAAATTACCCTTGCCTCAATGTAGCTAAGGAACATCAGAACCATCAGAACCCCAGCATCCAGCACTGGAGGTCTTGTGAAAACTGCAGCTGCCTCCGAGGTGGCTCCTCTCACCATAAACTTGCTGGAACTTGTGCAGACACTGCTACATTCAGAAGGATTTGAGGGCTCTGGATTAAAATGCTGGGTTTGACCCAGGTCAATCACAGTCGGGCCATACACTTGCTTTCCAACAGTGACGAAGCTCACCTCCTGCAGGAGACACCTGCAAAGCATCCATCTGGCAAGTCAGCCCATTCACTTGGTCTTGTGCAGGCTCGCCGTGCTTCTTAGGACTTGAGGACTTCCACCAGATGGGTATCTTCAGGAAGCCCTGAAAAGTGACCAGAAAGTACCAGGGAGCTCATGTGCAGACAAGGAAAAGTTTCACCTTCATCTCAGGAAGGAGGAGAAGACTTGTTCACATCTGAGCTGTTGTAACCAACTCTCACTTCCTCCTTGCAGGAGGACAAGAGTGCAAACACTCCATCCTCCTGCAGCCCCACAACGCCATCGTGGCTCTGCTGTCACATTACAGATCCAACTGAGTGACACTGTTGTCTGGAGCTCTGGACACAGATATGACCTTGCCAGAGGAAGCTGGATTCATCTAAGCCCTCTTTTGGGGTGGAGAAACATGAGATGGCTCCAGGAACTACACACAAAAAGGAGGAGGTTATCAGATGGGAGACAGCATTGATTGAGTGGCTTATGGTATGGAGCCCATAGAGATGGATACAGCCAATGACCAAGAAGAATCCATGACAGTGGATCCACCCAAACACTGAGAAGAGCCCATGCAGATGGACACCAGTGGTCATGTGGCTGATAGTCAGGAGCCCATGGAGGTGGACATCACTGCCCATGTGGCTGATAGTGGGGAGCCCATGGATGTGGATCCACCTAAAGACCAAGAAGAGCCCGTGGAGGTGGATCCACCTCCAGCATGGCTGCCCTGGAACACCTACACCATGCCAGGGCTCCCCTGCTAGCTCAACTAGCCCAACCTGGTCTTGAACACTTCCAGCAATGGGGAATCCATGACTTCTCTGGGCAGCCTGTTCCTGTGCCTCACCACCCTCACAGCACTATGTGCCACTCAGCAACTACATCTGGATTCTTCTGTCCCCTTCTGGTCTCTTAAGAACCAGGAAAGATACTGATGTGTGCGGTATGAGCCCAGCCCGGACCCTTGGAGATGGTGAGGGACTGGGACATGTGGCACATAAGAGCAGGCTGAAGGAACATAAGAGTGGAGCAGGCTGCCCAGAAAAAACTGTGGATGCCTTATCCCTACAACAGCTCGAGGTGAGGTGTAATGGGACACTGAGCCACCTCACCTATGAAAGGTCAGAACTAGGTGATCTTTAAAGATCCCTTCCCCAGCAACCCGTCCTATGATACCGCTTTAAGTTTCTTAGCAAAGAATCCTTCCACTTGTGTAATCATCACTGACATGAGTGTCCCAGCAGGGCCCTGTGGTATCAAACAACTTCCTCAGGCTAAATCTGAAGGCAAACACTTAATGTTTGTCATTCTGGGAGGAGGCAGCAGTCTAAGAGTTGTGTCTTCACAAGAACTGGGCGTGCCAGAAATCACAGAACCAACTGGGCTCAAAAAGACCTTTAAGATCATCAAATCCAACCATTACTCCAGGACTGCCAAGACCACCACTAACCCATGGCACTAAGGGCCAGGTCTGTTAACAGATCCTCCAGGCAAAGCTCCTGCGATGGGCAAGGCTTTTACTACAGCAATTGAATAAATAGAGACTCAGAATCTTGTAGAAGTTGATTTTAAACAACAGAGATGCAAAACTACAACAATTCTTCATTATAGCCAACCAGAATTCCTCAACTGGTGTTTTAAAAACATGCAAGAAGACAAAAGAGAACTGTCATATTCCAGTCTCCAACCACTGCCAAGAGACTAAAGAACACAATCTCTCTGGTTTTACCTTTGGTTGCAGCTTTCCTTCAGTTATAACCAAAGTATCTCCTCTGCAAACATTAAGTTCCTTCAGAGTGGCATTCTGTAGGAAGAGAAAGCACAACAGAGTTGTAAGTCTCCATGTTCATGGGCTTTGCTTCTTAAAGCAGATGTTGGGGGGGTTTTAAGCCATGCACGCCAAAGGTCCCCCAAAGAGCACAAAGATTGATTTAACATCCATCACTCAGAGGCAGCTTTGCAGCAGCAGAGAATGTTGCCCCTACAAGAGTCTGCTCTGCAGGAGCCCTTCCAAAGCAACCGAGTTGTGCATTTCCTTTGCACCTCCACATCTCACCAACTGACACCTCATGCTTCTCAGGAGACATCCCTTTAATGCATAGTAAGCCTTTAGAAAAAGCTCTCTGCATATGGCTTAACCATAAGGGGTGAACATTTCCACGTGCGCCACAGGTATGCCAACAGTGTCTTCACAAGGGCTGTGAGAACACAACAGTGTCTGTGCTGCTGTAGCACACAAAGAGCCACCAAGGGTTTGTGGCGCTGCAGCTCTCTCCAGGGAAAGTCTCTAATGAAAAGTGGGAGTAAACCAACCATGGCATGATTCAAGTCAAAAAGAGGATCCTCTTACTTCCTGACTCAATGCTTCCCCTGCTTCGTAGCACCAGTCAATCCTTCTCAAGTGCCAGTTGTCACCTACCAAAAACATACAGATGGGAAATGCATTAGCCTAGAATGGGGGTTCCAAATAAACCATTACAGACCTCTCCATCACTGGTAAGGGGTTCTCTTGCTTCTTTGTATTTGAACCACAACTCTGAATGAAGTACCACCTTCATGTCCTTCCCCAGGCCCTAGCAACGCTTTGCTCTTTGGAAATGGCCTTCTCTTACTTGCAGAAATGTCTCTTCCTCACCTACCCAACAGTTTCCCTGTTTGAAGAGGGAAGTGAAGGAATTCTCGTGCCAATTCATCATTTAAATCAATGACAGACTTGCTAAAATGAAAACTACACAGTAAGGAAAATCCAACTCCCCCTCTCCAACTGCCTACCAGGAGACATAAAGGGATGGTGTAGTCCAGAAACTACAATACTTTACATTTAGCACCTATACGTAAAGTGCACCAGAGACAGGAAGAACAAATAAACTGTTCAAAACTGCTCACAGAAAATGCAGCACTAAACCCAGAAGCACCATTTCTTGGCAGGAACCCTCCACTGCAGGGAAATGAAAAAGGTGAAGTTTATTTCAAGGCAGCTTGAAGTTTTTCAGCTCATACATACATGTACACAAGAGCACAATGTTTCATTTTCAGTTGGGCTGCCCAATGTGTATTCTCATTGTAATGTCTTTCAGGTGAACTCTGATGGATTTTGGAGCCACTGTAACACACACTCAGTATTCAACGAGCATTCAGAATGGAAGCTGGAATGCAATGCCATTCTGAGTCTCCTCTCTCCTTCCCCCCTCTCAGCATCAATGGAAAGAGATGATCAGCCAGGAAATTCACGTGTCATGCTTGTGCTCTCTCTGTCTCCTCCATAATCGTCATGTAAAAGCTTAGTAACAATCCCAGCCTGGTTTGTGTTGAAGGGACCTTAAAGCTCATTCAGTTCCAACCCCTGCCCCGGGCAGGGACACCTTCCACTAGAGCAGGTTGCTCCAAGCCCCTGTGTCCAACCTGGCCTTGAACACTGCCAGGGATGGGGCAGCCACAGCTTCTCTGGGCACCCTGTGCCAGCGCCTCAGCACCCTCACAGGGAAGAGCCTCAGAGCTCATCTCAATCTTCCCACAAGTAACTGCCACTAAACCAAGTAACTGCCACCACTCAGATTCCTAAATAATGGCCCAACTGATCTCATGTGGAATAACTTGGGTTTGCAAAGCAACCAAACGTTGCTTTTTTACAGTTAATTTCGTGCAGTGGCTCCCACTAGAGCAGAAAATCTTGTCAGAACAGCCAAACGCCTCCACCTGCTCCCAAGCCAATAGTCTTGGAACTGTGGATTTTGCCACATTTGGATTAAATAGAGAGCTTGGAACTGCTTTTCAAGAGCAATTGCACAGCTTTTATCAGAGCAAGACTGAGAGTGATAATTCTCTCCCCTCCTCACATTACAATGACACATCCAAGTTGTAAGTTTGTTTGATCCAAGTTTCACGGTAGCAAAAGCTGTCTTAGAAATCTGGGAATTCCTTTTAAAAAGTCATTAAACAAGAATACAACTGACCTGATAATCCAGATTTTTCCAGCATTAAATTTAGACACTGAAATAAAAGAAACATACGGTGAGATTTGTCTTAATTCATAGGTTGGGAAATCAAGTTCTCAGCAAATCTACACAGGAATGCTCTAAAAGAGACTAAGCAACTGATTCCTGGTCAAGTCCTAAAAACTATACAATTACACCTGCTTTACTTGAGCTATGTATGAAACCCTGCAAGTATTGGTTCCAGGCAAGAAATTACTATCACAGAATCCCAGCCTGGTTTGGGTTGAAGGGACCTTAAAGCCATTCCCCTTGTGCTGTCAGTTTGTTGCTTTACTTGAACATATTCAGCCCCTGAGTTGGAAGATGCACCTTTTCAAAAGCAAGCGTGCAAACTCAGCACCTCCCAGTCACTACTCATCGACATTAGCTCTCTGTGCCAGAACTCTGCACTGGTAGTACTGAGAACTGCTTCCTTCCCTCTTTGCTCAGCTCCTCCCGACTCCCTTCACTCCAGTTGTGTGCACTCAGAGTTTGATAAGCTACAGAACTGTGGCAGGCTGTGCCACGTGTGTGTTATCATTCTGAGGACTGCTGTGTAGAGAAGGAGTGGGTGCCATGCACGGAGCAGCTGGGGAAAAAACAAAGAGGTCTCTTTACTACTTAGTGAAAGATCACGGCCTTTTGGCGTTGAAACACTTCCTTTGCCTCAGTGTCTCTTGATAACCTGACGTGATGCAGAGGATAAGGCAAAGTTCTCCAGGAGAAGCAGACCTGGGCCAGGTATGAGAAAAGCTTTTCAAAGCAGTGAGATTTACCTCTTTGACAGAGGTGGTCTCTTCCACAACTATCTCCATCTCAGGGCTTGCAGTTTGGTCGCTCCCAACAATGAAGTACAAAAAGAGCTGAAAATACAAGTACAAGCTATCAGAACACATACTGAAGTATGGAATACTGTGAAGTAACACTCCCTACTGCACACATACAGCAGCTACTGCACTCCTGCCATCACTCAAACAGCACTGAAACTCCTTGGGGCTAAAGCAAACAATGTAAGCAGTACAGAGAAGCACATGCAATTGAGTTATGGCCATCAGGAGATCTTCCTTAACCATCTGCACATCTGCTGAAAATGTACTCTGATCTTTAGAAATACACATCTACTTTTTCTCCTGCATATTTACAAGCTGTAGATATCAAGAGCAATATCCTCCTTTTCCTTTATGCTCTTTATATGCACAGCAGAGCACGAGATGGACAAGCACAAAGAGATGAATGATAAAGTGATTTACCATTACCCACATGAGCTATATTAACTGGTCACATACATGCCTTCTGCAGCTAAGTGGTGAGAGCCTTCACGTTGAAATGTCTAATTCTTAGTGCCACTGAGCATGTTTCTATGCCATTTTCAACCATGAGGAGAGTGAAAAGAGGAGTATATGAAACATTGGGAACTCTAAACAAAGCAGAGAAGCAGCACAAGACTCTTTTCAGTCACACCACTACTATACCTGAGTGGAAGTTGGAGCTTTCCCATGACACAGCCCAAGCAAGCTTCCCATCTTCAGTTCTGCTTCCTTGACAGTATAATCCTCAGGCACTTCAGGAAGGACAAAACCACAGAGAACACCATCAGCATCTGCTGCTTCCTGAAAACACCCATTCTGTTATGCTGCTCTTTAGAGCGAGATAAAAATGCTCAGTGTCATTTAGAGAGCTTCACTTCCACAGTGTTGACATCACATCTGTAAGCCTCCAATGATGAGATCAAAGCAACATCTGTGTAAAGGTTTCTCCCCACCACTCCTTGTATATGGGCTGACAGAATCATTTCTGTTGGAATGGATCTTTACAGGTTGTGTGGTCCAAACCCCTGCTCTGCAGTCAGGTCAGTTGACGCTGGGCTCTTCCCAGCCAAACTGAACAGCTCCAGGGATGGGTATATACCAGCCTCTCAGGACTTCCTGTCTATTGTTTGATGCCTCCCAGTAAATTCCCTTCTCTCCTCTCCATACCAGCTGGAATTTCCCTCACTGAAACTTGTGTCTGCTGCCTCTGATCCTTTTCATGTGCTCCTCTGAGAAGAATATGGCTCTGCCTTCCCTATATGTCCATATTAAGGAGTTAAAGCCAACAATTACATGTTATTAAGCGTGTTCCAGACTCCACAGCAATAAACTGCCTTCTCATAGTAAAGAGAAACCTAAAAGTGCTCCCTCCATCACCACAGGACTCAAGTTTGCTGCTCAAGCTGTTCTGAAACCCCAGCCTTGTGCATTAATACTCTTGACAGATACACTTATAGTCCATTTTGTTTCGGGAGATGTAAGTTAGGAAGATGGGGAACAATGACTGCTTCCTGGAACATCTAGGAAGTTGCTCTGTAAATGTATTAAATATGATCCAAAACAGATCACTTAGAGACTCCAGTTTAAGTACTGAGCACAGGAAAGGACAAAGGGAAGCTTCAAGTTTCCCAATTGAACTTTTTACAGAACAATGATTAAATTTACCTGGAGACAGAAGTTTCCCGTTTCCACTGACAGGTCGCAGACAGCTGGCATTTGCTGGACCAAAAAGGGCAGGAAAGAGAGAGATATAATAAGTAATTCAATAAGGAGGAAATATGGCTTAGAACTTTCGACAGATAACATATTAGGATTAACAGGGTTATCTTTGAGGCCTCCCACTGGAGGGATGACATCAAAAGTCCTACTGGAGAGAGATTCCTAAATACAGCTTGAACAGTCTTAGTCGTGATGCTTTCAGGGAAGGTTTCTTTCTCTCTGAAGCTGCTGTCAGCCACAAGCTGTTCAATACAAACTGACCCAGTGCTCCCAAAGGTAAAGGCATCAAAAACAACTTTCAAGAAAGAAAAGTAGATTGTCTTAAAGAAAGGAATAAGGTTACAAAAGGGAGTAGTCAATATTCAGTGTAATACTGTGGTAAGATACACAATTATTCCTATTAAAAGAGCTTCTGAAAAATAAGAGCTTCATAAAACATATTTAATCAAGCCTTGCACCCATTGATATTTTCGAAGCTAAGAAAAATAACAATTGGATTCAGAATCAGATGAATTAAGACCTTTACACACTTTTTTTTCCCCAAAAATAAACCCAAAACCTCTTCACCACAATGAATTTTCTAACATCATCAGATGTAAAAGCACTTACCCAGCTCCTCCTCGAGCTGAAGCTCCTGTATAGCTTTCATTTTTATATCTGCCATCACCTAAAAGAAAGCAGTATTAACACCTCTAATGCACAGTGCCAGTAACACGCCTGCTGTTCACATGCCAGCCCACAAAATGCAGCCTTCAACTGAAATTAGTCCTGGATATATTCTTATTCCTAACACTATACACACTCTCTCCAGCTTAAAGCCATTCCCCTTGCCCAGTCCCTAGATCCCTTGTCCAAAGCCCCTCTCCAGGTTTCCTGGAGCCCCTTTAGGCCCTGGAGCTGCTCTAAGGTGTCCCCTTCAGGAGCCTTCTCTTCTCCAGCTGCCCCAGCCCAGCTCTCTCAGCCTGGCTCCAGAGCAGAGCTGCTCCAGCCCTCGCGGCAGCTCCGAGGCCTCCGCTGGCCTCGCTCCAGCAGCTCCACGTCCTTCTTGTGCTGTTCCCCAGAGCTGGATCAGGGCTGCAGGGGGGGTCTCCCCAGAGCACAGCAGAGGGGCAGGATCCCCTCCCTGACCTGCTGCTCATGCTCTGGGGGTGCAGCCCAGCACATGGGGGGTTCTGGGCTCAAGCACACACTGAAGCTGGGTCCTGGGGAGCTTCTCCTCACCCAACACCCCCAAGTTCTTCTCATCAGGGCTGCTCTCAGTCTGTATCTTCCTCCTCTATTATCTTCTTTTGCTTTACTGACATAGCCTCGCCAAACATACACTTATGGGACAGTCTAAAAAGAATGTTGTTTCTCACTAAAACCCAGTTATGAAGCTGCACTGGTTTAAGTTACCTGCATTACAGTCCCATTACACAGCATGTGAGGTATCCCACTAACTGTAACTCCAAGCTGCACAGTATTGCACCTCAAATCCTGTGTCAGTTCTGGGCCCCTCACTACAAGAGAGACATTGAGGTGCTGGAGCGGGGCCAGAGAAGGGCACCGGAGCTGGTGCAGGGCCTGGAGCACAAGTGTGATGGGGAAGGGCTGAGGGACCTGGGGGGTTTAGTGTGGAGAAGAGAAGGCTCAGGGGGGAACTTATCACTCTCTCCAACTGCCTGCCAGGAGGATGCACCCA